ATATAATACGAGTTTTCCTCTCATTTACCTTAGTTTAACTCTACTCGTAGAACTAGATATAGTCATTAAATCTCAGAGCAACCGTAACTATCATTTATGTAAGCTTACAAAGTTGGAATTAGCAGAATTGCTGTTCAAAATTTGGTTTGCTCAATGCCAGCATCAAAGCAAGTTGCATTCGGGAAACAAGAGAAAGGCAACGAGAAGGGCAGCTTTGCCATCCTCTGAGGTTTTGATCACAAGTGAAGCTACACTCATCGAATTGAGGCAAATGTTATAGCGTTTCGAAGCTAAGACATAGACCTACATTTCCTATAAAGACATCAATATCTAGTTCTTGCATTTTCAAGGTCAAAAGTGGACGGTCAGAAGCACATTCTGCTTCATTCTCTCGGACATCAACCTGCAATCAGTCGGGTTCAAGAGCTCTGCTTTACTCACATTGGGTTCAGGTTATTTCGGTCTTACTTGCTGAGGTTAAGGGACTTATGATATTTTACAACTTAATACACTAGTTTAGAAGCTATGATTTGCAAGAAATAGCCAAGATTTCTTATGTTTTCTTTCTCGGATGAAGCCAACAGGTTCAGCAGTGTAGCAGTTTAATACAGGGGCGGATTTACAGTGGGGGCACTGGGGGCACGGGCCCCCACTGCCCTCCTTAAATTCCTATAATACTCCTATAATTTTGATACAATTTTAATGGTGCCCCCAGAATTTTTTTAAAAAAATATGAAAGAATGGGTCACAAAATTTATATCATTCACTTTCCTCCTCTAAGGACCAGATATCAATTATATCAGTCATTACTTTTGGTCCCCACTCTCCAAGTTTCCTTTACTCCTGTGGTCCCCATTTCACTTCATAACCCACGACTCCTCTTCTTCCACACCCAACTAACTACTCTTTCTTTTTATTACTTCATCCAATCAACATTAATCATTTACTTCCTTTGTCCCCATTCCCCAATTTTCTTTTCCTCTTTTGCCTCTTGGTTGTCCCCACTGAAAATGGTCTCTCCCATCAAATAGTCCGATCCTGGTTTTCCTGTCATGAAAATGGTGTTGTTGACTACTTCAAACAGTGTTCCATTAAAGGAGTAGGCTTTTTGAAAACCAAGACCTGCTTTCTTCAGTTCAACCGCAAGAAACCAGTCCTTGAAGCTGACTTCTTTCCAATTAAATAACGTGATATGGGGCACAAAGGAAGTAAAGGGACCTGAGTCTGCCACAGTGCCACTGATTTGCAACTCTTTTCACCAATTTTGGGAGACCATTAAAATCAGGTTCTAAACAATTACTTATTATTATTATTATTTTAAATTTGTTTGCAAATATATTTCTAGAGCATGAGATTATTACTGTTTTAGAGAAATTTGAAAATTGATTAGTTAATGTAATAACTAATAAATGGGTTATTTGATATTTGATAAATATTTTAACTTGTGAAATGGTGATTTTATAGATTTATAATTTATAATTTATTTTTTATTTTCCTTGATTAGTTTCTTATTTGGAGTTAATGTAATGATGAATAGAGGGCCATTTGACATATATTTTAACTTTTAAATTATTCTTATATGGATCCTTTTGTCTAATTAACTTGATTATGTTCATATATTCTGATTAATGATTTGATATAGTAATGAATGAATAAGTTGTGATTTGATATAGTAATGATATGTTGTGATTAATGATTTAATAAATAACTTTAACTTGTAAAATAGTTCTTGGATAGATTATTAGATTTTATTGTACATTTAATATTTTAATTGGATTAGTATCTTATATATTGATTTTAATTTCTTTAGCTATGGAGAGATATTTCAAGAGGAAATCAATGGAAAAAGAGCCATCTAATAAAGAAGAAGCCAAGGATAATGAAGGTGCAAAAAATGACAATAAAAGAAATTTTTAAATAAAATTATTATTACATTAATAATTTTGAGTTTGTCTTTTTACGTTTTTCATGGAATATACATATCAATTGTACTTGTTAGTGAATTTATTTATTTTTTGCTCAAAAAATTAAAAAAAGAGTAGATAAAAAATTTTAGTATTATTTGTGCCCCCACTAAGATTTTTTTCTGGCTCCGCCCCTGGGGACCAAAGAAAAGAAATGTCACAAAATAAGAAGTCTTGAAGAAACTTCTTCCTCCCGTAGTCCCTCTTCAACATGGAGATTGGATGAAGCTCATCACCTACTAGAGCTCCACCCTAACTCGATTGATATCTTCCACGACCATGAGCTTAAGCTTCATTAGACGGTAACGGTAAATGGCATTGACTTCAATCTGAAGGGGATGAATATTAGGAGGAGCCGAAATTAGTGAGGTGAAGCAGTGGAGGTTGCAGATGATAATGTAAAGTTTCATCAGTTGCATTGCTATTATTTGAGGTAATTCTATTGTACTTGTGTATGAAACATGTTAATTACAAATCCATTTTTGCTAATTTAGGGAGAATTTGTTAAACCTAAAACCCTAACACCAAAATTAGGATTTGCAATTGTGAAGGTATTTCAGAGCACAGATGAGAGCTGGGTTGCTGTCTTGTGATTGGGGAAGTAATAAAAATTTAGGAAAATGTAGGAGGATAGCTCAATTTGTTGGACACTGGACTCCTACATTGGCGCAATAGAGGCAACGCCGCTGGAGTGGGCAAGTGAATGAATGAAACTGCCTTGCTACTTTTTTTTTCCTTGAGAATATCACATAATTCACGCTGCCTTCTTGCTTTCTTGTTTGGAAGACGAAGAAAAAGAAATTTAAACAGTGACAGCTTTTGAGAATTTGAGTCATGGTTGTGTAAAAGCTTACATTGCTGGGCTATTGTCATTGTTCTTGAGTATATATAATCACTGTCCAAAACAATCTGACATGTCACAATGCTTAAGAATCTTTGCTTGTTGTCCTTAAAAAGCAACAATGTAGTTTTAGTTGGTAATGTTGGGCACCTGTTTTCTTCGTTTTTTGGAGAGATTTACAACTCGAATGAATTTGAGATTAACACTAGCTATTGCTAATCAATATTCAATACCAAATACTAGAATTTTGATGAAAGGTGGAATTCATGTCATTTTGGGCTATTCATTTTTTCATTATGTATATATCCAAACTTTGCAGCTCTTAGATTTAATTTGTGCATCTTTGTTAAAGCGATAAAGTCACACTTTAATTTGGGAGTATTTGTTAAAGTCAAGCCTTAGTTAGTAAAGGTTTCCATTTCGTCTTCAATTCATAGTTAGTAAAGTCAGGTTTACCTTGTTGTTTATTACGAGTTTGTTTCTTTGCTAAGCATAGTAGTGGTTTGTCATAACTCATAAGAATTAGCAAGGGTCAATAGTGTTAACAAACAACTTTGGTATGTGATTTTTAGGTCTACAATTATTCAGTAATATAACATATTTTTTTAATTTAAAGGCATGTTGATTAGCCTCCCCCTCCAAGGTTCCCTCAATGCTATAGCCACGTGCATCTACTGCCACTCCATTGATCTTGGAAAGTCCAGTATTTGTCTCTGCGAGTAATGAAGGAGGAAATGAAGCTATTACAATGTCAATAGGCAATTCTTCTCCTCTTGGGCTCTATTGCCTGGCATTCACGTACCAAACAACTGCAAGAATGACTATGGGTATCATCTTTAGAGCATCCATTCTCATGGGATTGCTTTGCTATGGTTTGCTTTCTAGTCCAGCAATTGCCATGTCCAATGTAACAAATGAGACATGGCTGATATACCAGGGTCGATGCACAACAATTCCAGAGTGTATTGCAATTTGTAAGTAAGAAAAATACGCTGATGGAGGCGTTTGCAAAAAGCCTTCTAGTGATTCACCCTACGTTAATTGCTATTGCATAGCCTATTGAATTATAAGAAGCCTTGGAATTGTGTGATCTTTGCGTGATGATTCTGAGTTATTATGGAATGAATAATTATTTTGATGAATAATAGCAATTTATTTTACTAAAAAAAAAAGGGAAATGAAGCTATTGCTCCTGGAAATGAAAGTGGTACTTTGAATACCAATAGAGGACAAGCGACAACCCGGGACAATAATGCTCAAAAGGAATGGTAAGTGAAGGAGATGGTCAATTTCATATGCCTAAAAGAAATAAAATGTTAGAGGCATGGGATGACTTCGACGAATTTCAAGGAGTGTGATGACTCACCTTCTTCTAGGGCGTATCCTAAAAGTTAGCGGATTGCCTGCCTAACTCTCTTCAGGATTCACTAATGTCACATTAACTTCAGAGATACCAGTTAGATAACTCTCACAAATATTTACATTAACTTCAAAGATAACATCTGATAAGACAAAACCCAACCGTTCAAGTCTTTCACAATACCTAGTTTAATACAAAAGCTTCAACCCTTAATAGGATATTAAAGGGGTGCACATACACAAAAGTCTTTACGCTAACTTGCTAAGATCCCCCGTTCAAACCCTGACCACCAATTCCTATAAGGAAAACAAACTAAACGGTTGAGTTAAAGTTTAGTGAGGTTTACCAAGGAAGTAACATTTAACAAACACTTGAAATAGTACAATTAAGCAAGTAATGCACATTTCACTATTCAAACACTTTCAAAGGATACAAACTACTCCTGAGAGTCATTTCAACATCATTGTACATTCCGCCAATTCATTCCCTTATATCCTCCAAAACTAATAAACGATCCCCTCAATTCAGTGATCAGTTCGATAATCCACCAACTTCTAGGTAATACTCGAGTATACCGAAACATTTATCCAGAGCTTCCGTTCTATCCGACAAAGCCTTTTGCTGGCTCGAATAGCCCGTTGAACAAAGGATTTTGGGCCCAGTTCACCTAATGCGGCTTACATTCATGCACATATATAATATCATTTGATCAATTATCAACCTTCAAGTTCAACTAAGCCGTGTGCGATATAGTACATCCCCGACTTAGAAGGCGATGGACAATTGATTTACACATTACAAGGATTCACTAGCAATATCCATAGTACATACATTTATCACATAATTTCATTTAAGAACATAAACAGTTAAGCATATAGTTCGGCAACACTCACTAAATATTCAAATAACTACTCTCAGGCTTCAGGGTGGCTTCCTGGCTCACAGCTACTTCCTGAAGCAAGTTAATAATTTTAAAGTAAATACATAATTTGTAGATGTTCACTTATTGTTCTTACCTTACCATTTGAACTATTAAAATCAAGTTTGACTTTAAAATACAAAATATAACATGTTTAATATTCATTTATCATTTTATTTTGAAACTTATTGACTTTATTGTTTTAATCAAGAAATATACATATTTTTCAAGTTAATAATTTATAAAATATTTATTTTAGGATTAAATCATTTTCCACTGAAGATTCTAAGATTAAGGCTTGCGAATATTCCATTGGTTCCTTTTAACTAGTTAAACTTTAGGTTATTTGGAAATCAAATTTAATTCCATTACACCAACCCCTCAAATTTTATAATCTTTAAAATATTCATGAAGACAAGATTAAGTAATTAAAAGGCAATTTATGTATATAATACGAGTTTTCCTCTCATTTACCTTAGTTTAACTCTACTCGTAGAACTAGATATAGTCATTAAATCTCAGAGCAACCGTAACTATCATTTATGTAAGCTTACAAAGTTGGAATTAGCAGAATTGCTGTTCAAAATTTGGTTTGCTCAATGCCAGCATCAAAGCAAGTTGCATTCGGGAAACAAGAGAAAGGCAACGAGAAGGGCAGCTTTGCCATCCTCTGAGGTTTTGATCACAAGTGAAGCTACACTCATCGAATTGAGGCAAATGTTATAGCGTTTCGAAGCTAAGACATAGACCTACATTTCCTATAAAGACATCAATATCTAGTTCTTGCATTTTCAAGGTCAAAAGTGGACGGTCAGAAGCACATTCTGCTTCATTCTCTCGGACATCAACCTGCAATCAGTCGGGTTCAAGAGCTCTGCTTTACTCACATTGGGTTCAGGTTATTTCGGTCTTACTTGCTGAGGTTAAGGGACTTATGATATTTTACAACTTAATACACTAGTTTAGAAGCTATGATTTGCAAGAAATAGCCAAGATTTCTTATGTTTTCTTTCTCGGATGAAGCCAACAGGTTCAGCAGTGTAGCAGTTTAATACAGGGGCGGATTTACAGTGGGGGCACTGGGGGCACGGGCCCCCACTGCCCTCCTTAAATTCCTATAATACTCCTATAATTTTGATACAATTTTAATGGTGCCCCCAGAATTTTTTTAAAAAAATATGAAAGAATGGGTCACAAAATTTATATCATTCACTTTCCTCCTCTAAGGACCAGATATCAATTATATCAGTCATTACTTTTGGTCCCCACTCTCCAAGTTTCCTTTACTCCTGTGGTCCCCATTTCACTTCATAACCCACGACTCCTCTTCTTCCACACCCAACTAACTACTCTTTCTTTTTATTACTTCATCCAATCAACATTAATCATTTACTTCCTTTGTCCCCATTCCCCAATTTTCTTTTCCTCTTTTGCCTCTTGGTTGTCCCCACTGAAAATGGTCTCTCCCATCAAATAGTCCGATCCTGGTTTTCCTGTCATGAAAATGGTGTTGTTGACTACTTCAAACAGTGTTCCATTAAAGGAGTAGGCTTTTTGAAAACCAAGACCTGCTTTCTTCAGTTCAACCGCAAGAAACCAGTCCTTGAAGCTGACTTCTTTCCAATTAAATAACGTGATATGGGGCACAAAGGAAGTAAAGGGACCTGAGTCTGCCACAGTGCCACTGATTTGCAACTCTTTTCACCAATTTTGGGAGACCATTAAAATCAGGTTCTAAACAATTACTTATTATTATTATTATTTTAAATTTGTTTGCAAATATATTTCTAGAGCATGAGATTATTACTGTTTTAGAGAAATTTGAAAATTGATTAGTTAATGTAATAACTAATAAATGGGTTATTTGATATTTGATAAATATTTTAACTTGTGAAATGGTGATTTTATAGATTTATAATTTATAATTTATTTTTTATTTTCCTTGATTAGTTTCTTATTTGGAGTTAATGTAATGATGAATAGAGGGCCATTTGACATATATTTTAACTTTTAAATTATTCTTATATGGATCCTTTTGTCTAATTAACTTGATTATGTTCATATATTCTGATTAATGATTTGATATAGTAATGAATGAATAAGTTGTGATTTGATATAGTAATGATATGTTGTGATTAATGATTTAATAAATAACTTTAACTTGTAAAATAGTTCTTGGATAGATTATTAGATTTTATTGTACATTTAATATTTTAATTGGATTAGTATCTTATATATTGATTTTAATTTCTTTAGCTATGGAGAGATATTTCAAGAGGAAATCAATGGAAAAAGAGCCATCTAATAAAGAAGAAGCCAAGGATAATGAAGGTGCAAAAAATGACAATAAAAGAAATTTTTAAATAAAATTATTATTACATTAATAATTTTGAGTTTGTCTTTTTACGTTTTTCATGGAATATACATATCAATTGTACTTGTTAGTGAATTTATTTATTTTTTGCTCAAAAAATTAAAAAAAGAGTAGATAAAAAATTTTAGTATTATTTGTGCCCCCACTAAGATTTTTTTCTGGCTCCGCCCCTGGGGACCAAAGAAAAGAAATGTCACAAAATAAGAAGTCTTGAAGAAACTTCTTCCTCCCGTAGTCCCTCTTCAACATGGAGATTGGATGAAGCTCATCACCTACTAGAGCTCCACCCTAACTCGATTGATATCTTCCACGACCATGAGCTTAAGCTTCATTAGACGGTAACGGTAAATGGCATTGACTTCAATCTGAAGGGGATGAATATTAGGAGGAGCCGAAATTAGTGAGGTGAAGCAGTGGAGGTTGCAGATGATAATGTAAAGTTTCATCAGTTGCATTGCTATTATTTGAGGTAATTCTATTGTACTTGTGTATGAAACATGTTAATTACAAATCCATTTTTGCTAATTTAGGGAGAATTTGTTAAACCTAAAACCCTAACACCAAAATTAGGATTTGCAATTGTGAAGGTATTTCAGAGCACAGATGAGAGCTGGGTTGCTGTCTTGTGATTGGGGAAGTAATAAAAATTTAGGAAAATGTAGGAGGATAGCTCAATTTGTTGGACACTGGACTCCTACATTGGCGCAATAGAGGCAACGCCGCTGGAGTGGGCAAGTGAATGAATGAAACTGCCTTGCTACTTTTTTTTTCCTTGAGAATATCACATAATTCACGCTGCCTTCTTGCTTTCTTGTTTGGAAGACGAAGAAAAAGAAATTTAAACAGTGACAGCTTTTGAGAATTTGAGTCATGGTTGTGTAAAAGCTTACATTGCTGGGCTATTGTCATTGTTCTTGAGTATATATAATCACTGTCCAAAACAATCTGACATGTCACAATGCTTAAGAATCTTTGCTTGTTGTCCTTAAAAAGCAACAATGTAGTTTTAGTTGGTAATGTTGGGCACCTGTTTTCTTCGTTTTTTGGAGAGATTTACAACTCGAATGAATTTGAGATTAACACTAGCTATTGCTAATCAATATTCAATACCAAATACTAGAATTTTGATGAAAGGTGGAATTCATGTCATTTTGGGCTATTCATTTTTTCATTATGTATATATCCAAACTTTGCAGCTCTTAGATTTAATTTGTGCATCTTTGTTAAAGCGATAAAGTCACACTTTAATTTGGGAGTATTTGTTAAAGTCAAGCCTTAGTTAGTAAAGGTTTCCATTTCGTCTTCAATTCATAGTTAGTAAAGTCAGGTTTACCTTGTTGTTTATTACGAGTTTGTTTCTTTGCTAAGCATAGTAGTGGTTTGTCATAACTCATAAGAATTAGCAAGGGTCAATAGTGTTAACAAACAACTTTGGTATGTGATTTTTAGGTCTACAATTATTCAGTAATATAACATATTTTTTTAATT